AAAAAGAAGTTTTGGACTTGCTACTAAAAACAAGAAAGTTGTTGAGACTTTTAGATGGAATTGTCTAGTTTTTGCGTTTTCTTAATCATAATCTTTTTCTTCGAAAAATACTACAAAATAACCTTTGAGTTAGATATTTATTGGAAAAAAAAACAAAGTATTAGGATTTTTCCAGTGTCAATAATTGATCCGCTGTGGAATCAATCGAAAAATTTGTTGTGGTAACTTTGCCTGCAGGAGCAGCTAATTTTTTTTTAGAAAAACTGTTTTGAACTTTGTCAAAAAGCACAATGTTTGAGATTTAGATCCTTTCTTGGAGATTATTCTCAAAAACTAGCTTGCCAGTTCATAGATTAATGTGCCAGTTGAAAAAACATGGTGCATTAAATTGTCTATGCATTAACGTTTACCCGCTTTTTGCAGAAAAATTTTTTTCGAATCATTTTTCTCACTTTGTTGAAAATACCATGCAAAATTGACAATTCGTTCAAATGAAAAAAACAGGCAGTAGGTCTCTTATCTTTTTCTAGCAGAGACATCGATATGTTTTCGTGTAGTTTCCATTTTGTGAAATACTGAAAATTTCATTTTTTTTGATCCCGCAACAACACAAATTATCAATTATCAAACTTATAGCTCCACCTAATGTCTGATGACTTTGTTTCAGACGCTTCTTTATACTTGCGAGAGCAAGTTTCTTCTATTAAAAAAATTGTTTTCTTTCCCGTAAGCAACATTTCTTACGCATTTGCAAAAAAATGAAGTCGTCGTTATCGAATTTTAGCTACTTCCAAACACCTTGACACTTGGTGTGGATGTAATGCGTTGCTTCAGTACTCTAATGTCGTGGGTTAGTGTCGCGATGGACCTAGTTTTTTCTGTGTGTGCAATTCAATTTTTTCCAGGAAAAATTGAGTTGGTGAACTTTCGTTGTTCGGCTTACGTTTTGTCTGTTTGGTTGCCACGCTACGGAATTTGTTGAAATGAAAACAGTTGTTAATGTAGTTTCAAGTGACATTGATTACTTTTGTAGCATATAAAATAAATAACCCTAACTGGTATATTTTCCTTATTGTATTTTTCTCGCTTAGAAAACCCATTCCGTCTAAATGGTTTCGGTTGATGTGTTTTTGGCTGAATGAAGTTGTTTCATCCGATTGAAGAAAAAAATGGCCGTAAATCTTTTTAGTATTTCAGGTCACATTTTTTTTCTAGTTATTCAAGTATCACTCAGCGAGTTTCACATGTTGCAGAATACGGCCATATGTTGTAGTGGTTATATGACGCTCCTAAAACAACGAAGGTAGGTAGATCAAATCCCGGTCTAGGCAAGATTTTTTTGTATTTTGCCGTAAATCATAGACCCTTACAAACGTTAAAGCGCTGCTGGGGGGGGGGGGGGGTATACTTTTTCTATAAGTTTCAAGAGTTTAAGTTCAGTTTTAATATTTAAACTTCAATTGGTGCATTTCAATCAGTTTCATAGTCTTAATTGGATTCTGAATTTTTTTACCTAATTTATTTGTTTTAAATTTAACCGGTCAATTATTCAGAGGACGCCGTTCACGCAAGTCTTTTTATGGCGGATCAACTTTGGGAGATAAGACAGGTTCTTGGTACATTCAAAAACATGGCAAACTATTGTCCTTGGTTTCCGCTGAATATCGTTAATTTGGCCGTTCGATTAAACATTATTATCATCTTGACTGGATGAATTTTTGCTCCTCAACTAATTGTAATTGTCCTAAATGCTGAAACAATAGTATCATGATGATACTTGACTCATTTGTGGAAAATAAGAGTGAGAAATAAAATGGAGGAAGTTGTCTCATTAGCGGTTGAATTGAGGGTTTTAAATATATCATTTGCTGATAGAATGTCTGATAAACTTGACGTTGGAGGAAACTATTAAGTAAGGGAAATTGAAATAAACTGATGAAACATTAGGTAATTCAGCTATTCAATTTTTGTTATTATGGTATTTTGATTCGAAAAAATATTGCACTTGATCACATTTACATATTTCAGTTTAGTTTTAAAGCAGTAAAAACATCTGAAAATCAAAACAATTTTGTTAACGAATTTCAAAAAAAATCAAAGGGGTGCTGGAAATGCACCTCAATTTGCCCCATTATGAAAACGCGGTCACTGCACGGGACTCGAGGTTCATATCTGCGTATAAAGATTTGATGTAACTTCAAACTATAAAACCTTACCGAAAAAAATGTTTATTTTACATCTTTCTGTTTCATCCAAGATTAAACCAGGTTTTAACAAACGGAAGGGATAAAACTTGGCTCATTGGTTGCATAGTTTAGTGAATTCAGTCCATTTATAGAAGCGAATTCATGCAGCAGAGAGAAATTGTTACTCGCACGCAAATTCGGTCCAAGTTTTTTTCTGTCACTTCAAATTCAAGCCAAGTTTTACATTTTTTTTTTAAAGTCGCGATTATTTAACGCACTCAAGAAATTTTAAATCTTCCAGCTTTCAATTTCAGATTTGTTTTTTGTTTTGAATTAATTTTAACACAGTCAAATTCAATAAACAAGTTCAATTGATTACACAACAAATAGTTGTATAACTTTCAGCATAAATAACTTTTAAGATCAGATTTAACAAAATTTTATCCTATTGTTTAAATTATTCGGAAAATTTTTTGAGATGAAGATTCAAAAATTGTAGAGTAAACGTTAAACGTTGAGCAAAAACATTGAAATAAATTTCGAGATGTTAAAAATGTCTTAAATATTGGATTCGTGAACTGGATGCGTTATAATTGAAGTCAAAAGCTCACAAATAAATCTTACATTGAAAACAGAAAATTTCGAAAATCCTTGTATGAGTTAATTAGTTGCGATTTTTTCTTAAAGCAAATCGAACATCTGGCTGGAAACTCATTGTGAGGTGACATAAAAACTTGAGTTGAGTTTGCGTGTGAGCAAGGCCCGCCGTATACTCTCCATAGGTTCGCTTCCATATTCGGACTCAATTCACATGACAATAAAACAAATGGTACAAATTGCACCAATTCCGTTTGCTAAATCCTGTACAACCTTCGATCAGGATTACTCTTTTTTGGATTCCATAAGCACAAATTCGTTTGTTTGATTATGCATCGGACCCATCTTTCATCACCTTATTTTAGCAGACAATAATGAACATACTCCCTTTAATTTCAAGTGCAATTGCCTCCAATTTCAAATTTAAAAAACAAATTATATCAGAAAATGGGACAATGAACTCACTCGATTTTTATTTGCAAATGAGACAAGTCCTTTCATTTTATCCCCCTTCGTTTTCCGCCAATGAGACAAATCCCTTCACATTGCACATTCACATCAGCAAAAAAAAAAACAATGTTAACGTCTATGCATGAAAAACTTTTTTGGACCATGATTTTTCAAATAAAGCATTAAATTTCAGAACTGGCAGGAAAAAACCTCCAAAAAAAGATCAAAACTTCAAACTTTGGACTTTTCCACAAGTTCAAAACTTTTTTTTTGAAAAAAAAAATAGCAAAAGCTACTTTTGCAGAGAAATTTGCCACAACCTGTTTTTCGATTGAATTCACTGCCGAATAGTTACTGATACACGCAAAATCATCATACCCTGTTTTTATTTCCAATTTAAACCTAATTGCAAGGGTAATTTGTAGGGTATTTTTCGAGAAAACTTTAAGGTGCGAAAATACTCAATAACGTGAGAATTTTTCAAATCAGCTATCTTGTGTCACCTAGGGAATCACTGCAAGAAAAACCTGCCGAAAAAAACTTATCATCAAAAAAATTGAATCTAGCGGCTTCTGCAGGGTGACTTTCAACAGCCTTTCAAATGTGAAACACTTTATTAGGAAGGCAAAACTTGTTTAAAAAATTGAACCTAGCAGCTTCTGCAGGGAGACTTTCAACAGCCTTTCAAATGTGAAACACTTCATTCTGAAGGCAAAAACTTTTTTAATAAAATGAACCTAGCAGCTTCTGCAGGGAGACTTTCAACAGCCTGTTAAATGAGAAAGAGATTTGGCATGGGAATAATTTTGTATTAGAAACATTTGACAAAACGAATTAAACACGGGAGGTTCCCACAAACCGTTCCTTTGGTTGTTAACAAAATCTCTGATTCAGGATGGTAGTTTTCGAGAAGTCAAGTAACATTCAAAAAACTTTCAAAAATTAATTATTTGACTTTAGTGTGCGCCATAACGTGTAGTGGAAAAAGATTTTTGCGTACTGTTTTATGCAGCAAAAATTCCACCGTCCGTTGATTCGATTTCATCCAAAATTCAGATTTGATAGAATAGTTTTCGATCAACTGAACAATGTCTAAAAATATGAGTCAAACATTACCCCTACAAGATATTCGAAGGCTGTCGAATGTGGAGTAAGGTCAAAACAGACTTAAGTAACTATGCTCGCAAACAGGAGAGTTGATGTTTCTGTCGGTACTACCTTTTTTGAAAATCTATGAATTAGTTTTTTTCAAAACTTAAATTTTGCGAAAAGTGAAAAATTATCCCAAAGCCTCTTGAAAAAAATTTGAAAAAAATCAAGTTCATACATTTTCAATATTTCTATTTTAGTGAAACAAGAACTACGGGCCAGCACTACGGATGTGCCTGTTCGATGTTTGACAATATGTTGTACTGATTCGGGATGAAATAGGTTATTTTCATAACTTCTAACTAAAGCGGATTCTCGACTTAAGTAAGAAATTAACCAGTTACGGGAGAGAGATTAATACTACCCGTTTTTTCAACTGAACTCAACGACACAAGAACCAAGGTGGCTTTAGAGAACAGTGGAAAAATTCAAAGACGGAAAAAATTTGGAAAAATTGTCTTCTGAAGCCAAAAGTGCTTTTCAAAAAGTAGGGGAGTAACCGTTTATCTAGGGATTATCTTCCAATAATTTTCTTCCAAATGAACTATTAACTTGAAAAAAAATCACCAAGACGCATAAAAGAGTACTCACTGCCTTCTTTATTCTTAAAAAGCAAACTAATTTTCGAATTCAAATTAAGTAGTATAATTCAATCTGCATGCAACTATTTAAATATCCAATTGACATTTCAAGCATTTAAATGTTGTTCTAAAATGTCTCACTGACGAGTTGGTTGTACTACGATTCAAATTTGTTTATATCAGCAACTAAAAACATTCGTCACAGCTTGGTCAAATTGAGCGAATGGAAAATTATCCTTAATTAACAGAAAAAAAAACGGTGAAAACTTTTTGTAGCTGAAATTAGTTTTTTTAGGAGTGATTCATCGATTTTTTCCATTCTGTTCAATTTATTCTCCTCAGTTCAAGTAAATGACTCACTGCACAAAAATAGACAACTTTCTTCCATCAAATCATATTTATAAATATTAATAACTAGATTCAAATCGATGACATTGGGTTAGTAGGGCAATTCAAACTCCAGATTAAATACAATTCAAAAATATCTCTGCTTTTAATTCAATAATTGTTATTTGTACTTATTCTACTAAGTGACAGTGCAAGGTAAAACAAAAACGGCTAATAACGTAGGTAGGCGGTTATTAATAGTTTTTTCCTTTATTTTTGTCTTTTTTTACTTCATTTAATTTTTTGCGGGTTCAAATCCATCCTGCAATCGAGCAAATCCTCAACCGATCTTCATCATTAAAAAAACTATTTTGTGCATGTAATAGGGTGATAATTCTACATCGAAACTTAGCCTTTGCAAAAGGGCTGCTTGAAATCGGGCACCGAAGACTTGATGGGCAAAAGTTAGGTTTGGCGTACTAAATATTTCCAAGAAAATTTCTCCTCAAATTGCAATTACTTAATTTGAGTTATTTTCATTTTAGACCAATTCAACCCTATTTATTCGATTTCAAATCGTCATGAAAAACTGCATACGCACAGCTCAACCTCCACCAAAACAATTTGGTTTCTGCCTCAAGACTTCAAAGATCTCTTTAACTACGCCCCACCCCCCTCCCCCTTGCCAAAAAGGGGGAAATTCGTACATTTTGTGTACAAAAATCCACGCAAGCTTTTACTGTTGAATTGTTTTTCTCAAGGGTTCGATAGATATTCATTACCAGATGGAGGGGTGGGGGAGCGGGTAGTTAACAAGCTGCGATGTTATTAAATGGCTGCCTCAGTTTGTCTTGTTCATGTGAATTGAGTTGTTCTCAGTTTAAATCTCGCAACTGATCTGCATCTTTCTCTCAGTGCCACAGGTGTTTGGGTTTCCACTCAGCAGCGGCAGTGTGCATGTCATCTCCCCTTTCTGATTGTCCCCCTCCCCCTCCCCCTCGCCAATACACTTTCCGCATTTCCTCACTCGGACACTCTGGTCCCACTTGCAGGGCGCATCCCTCGTGTAGTCACTGCTCACCTCTTCCTTTTCTGTTAAAAACACTAAATCATCAAAACAACCAAAAAATTAGACCCTTTTCCCGGTTTCTTTGAAGGCATTAATGACACGCGTTTCGAAGTTTCTCTAAGTTTAAGTTGTTTTTGGGATAAAGTTGCTCTCTTAGAACTTGTAAGATAGGGAAACTTATTGCACTTTGGTCAAACAAGGGATATCACAACCGTCTGTTTGTAATGTTAATTTGTTAAAACCTTTAAAACAGTGGACGCAAACAGCTTCAACATAGTAAAGGGACGATTGAAATATTGTTAATGGACACATGGAGAACGGATATAGAGCTACTGACTTTTTGAAAAAAATTATAGAACGGCTTAAATTGCCATTAACACCTTTGAACTGTCAAAATCTAAGCTACCGAAACGTCATTTTCGTGCTGCTTTTTTATAGAAATTTGCAAAAGGCGCAGAAATTTTTGGCACATAAGGGACTTTATAAGGGTTTCCGACAAACTACTAAAAACTGCCTCCCATCCCTCGATAAAAGACAAAAAATGACTAACCAGCAGGTACTATCAGGGGTATCAACTCATCAGGGTAGAACTGTTTCACCTCCGAGGGACTGAAATCCAGGTCAATGAACTCACGTCGACCTAATTTAAAAACACATTTCAAGTATTTTTCAACTGCTTATGAAACCCCTATGCAGATTCTTGAACGGCTAGATATAAAGTAAAAAAGCTTTTTCTTCGAGGATGAGCTAAAATTTAGCTCATCCTCGAAGAAAAAGCTTTTTTACTTTATATCTAGCCGTTCAAGATTTCAGATCGATGAACTTTTTAGAACCATTAGACGTTCCGGCATTCCGACCTGTAGCCAGCAAATATCCAAAAATGGCGAACAACAAAATGATGATTATGATTAATTTAACCTGCAATTGGTTTTGCATTTGCGTTTCCAGACATACTGCCTCCTCCACACGCCTTAGTGTCTCTTTTCATACTGGGGCAGACTTGAGCCTGGTTCTGGCTTCTGTTGTGTCTCAGCTTGCGCACTCTGAACTTCTGTCCATTCACACACTTGCCCCACTTCGCCTTGTGCCAGCGACAGTGCTTGTCTTCTAAACCATTAGCAAATGTAATCGGAAACTGAGTGATTGTATATTTAATGCCAAATTGTTGAAAAGATCCTTTTCGGTCAACGAATCTCAAGGAAAATAATTAACCTAAAAGAGTTCATCAGATTTTGAGTCCTGAAATTAAATTTTCATAATTTCGATACGTACAAACCATAACAAAACTCTAATTAACCTACAAAAAAAAACACTTTTTGACCGCTTAAGTGGCTCAAGATCACCATTACTGCCGATAATTTGGTAGAGTTGCCGGCAGTAAGTCGAAGGTGATCAAGTTTTCTTTTAATATTTTACTGAGTTCAACTATCAAAAAAAGTCTTTTACACTATCAAAAACATGCACCTTTCAAAACTTTTCTTCTGGGAAAGGTATAACAATGGACAGCAATCTTTGTAATGATTGCCAACGTACAGTAGGAAAAGTATCAATGAACTTGAAGAAATGCAAAAAAATCAAGGTTTGTGAAATCAATTTCGAGATTGAAAAAAAAACAAGCATATCATTTTTAATTTCTTTACTTTTCAGAAATTTTATGATTGACACTTGTTGGATAAAAAAATTTGATAACATCAGATCAAGAGATAAGTATTCTATTCCACTGGCAATTCTGACAACTTAAATTCATTTTCGAAACAAAGTCGCTCAGCTTTTTTTCGCACCATTTACGCATGCGTTTTGAAGAGCGTAATTTGCCTTCCTCTCAGCAATTAAATGAATTGAACTTACAAAAAAGCAAAAATCAAACCAAGGCAAAATCAATTTAAGCATGAACCACTTTTCCGACTTTTCTGTGACAAAAAAAAACAGACTACTTAAATATGTGTCTTCGCATCGTTGATTGCTTCGTAAATACTTGAATAATATGATCTGCACGAACCATTCTAGCGTCACTTTAGCCGAATCGAGCAAAATGTGCGCAAGTAAATCAACTCCCTAGCGTAACACATCTAGCAACAAAAGAGAACTCGCAAAATAGACAACTCGTAAAATTTAGCAATAACGACAACTCACAAAATGCGATAGCTGGAGAAAACTGTTCAGATAGACAGACCCATTATGAACTCTATACTAAGACCTAGAATGCCTCCCTGAATACCAAATAAATATCCATTTATTGAATCCTTAATTCAAAACAATTATTGCAGAGAGATATCACTCTTTTTGATTGCATTAATTAGTCAACTGCTACACAATCGAAATAATTGTCATTTTTTTATCAAACTGATTCTACTGACTTGAATAATGTAGCAACTCAGAACAAGTCAGCGCTGATAATGAGCCTTGATCTTTGAAAATGAAGAAAATCGATTTACTTCTAGGATAACAACTAGTATTTACAGCGGGGTAACAACTAGATCTCAAAAGTATTCACACGTGACTACTTGTATGTTGAGAAAAACTAGCTTATTATATTAAGTATTTCCTCGTGAACCAGAAATTTTTTACACTGGTTTCAATTTTTTTGAATTTTTCTGATCAACTTTTCATTTTCGAACAAACAAGGTTTAAAAGAGGTGAAAAAGCATGATCGTTAAATATACATAGTTGTTCGGAATCATTGAGGGATTTTACGCAAAAACAAACTTTGACAAATATTTCTGTACACCACGACAACTGAGAAACAGCAGCTGAAGCATTATCTCGAGTATTTGGAATAACCGTGGTTGGGCGCATACAGAAGTGTAACTCTACGAAAAGATCAACTTTCAAAACAGCAACATAGAATCAGATAAGCAATACAATAAATGGAAACCAAAAAAAACAAATAATTAGGTCACAGGATATGATAGAGCTTTTCAACAAATTAGGAGATTTAATAGAGATTCAGCAATAGAAAGAGGAGCAAATTCTGACCGAAAATCGCCTGAATACAGGGTTGGGATATTTAAATTTTGTGAACTTTTCTAAGATAAGTTTTCTGAAAATTTTTTGAAAAATCACAAAACGTCATATCTCGAAAACTAAAAGAAATTGAACAGCCATATTTGGAGGCAAGATTTGCAACTCCAGAGAGTACCCTGACAGCACCCAACTACAAGGTAAGGAGATTCAAAATAATTAAAAAAATAATTTAAGTTTTTTGAAAACTTTTTGAAAAAATCACAAAAAAACGTCATATCTCGAAAACTACAAACAATTGAGCAGTCAAAATTGAAGGCAAGGTTCGCAATACTTTAGAGTACCCTGAAAGGCCCCAACTACAGGGTTGGCAACTTGAACTTTCGAAGAAAAATTCGGCACGTTTTCTGAAAATTTTTCGAACAATCACAAAAAACGTCATATCTCGAAAACTATACTAGGATTTGAATGGTCATTTGGAGGCAAGAATCGCAACTTTTAGAGTACCTAGAAAGCACTCAAACACAGGGTACAGAGTTTCAAATTTTGAAAAAAAACTAATAATATTTTTTGAAATTTTTTTTGAAAAATCACAAAAAACGTCATATATTTGAGCAGTCATATTTGGAGGCAAGATTCTCAACTCCTGAGAGTACCCTGACAGCACCCAAATATAGGGTAAGGAAATTCAAATTTTGAAAACAAAAATTAATTCAAGTTTTCTGAATTTTTTTTGAAAAAATCAAAAAAACGTGATATCTCGAAAACTACAAGGATTTGAGTCGTCTCATTTTTGGAGGCAAGACTCGCAATCCTTGAAAGTCAACTCTGACAGCACCCAGCTACAGGGTTGGGAATTTCAAGTTTTCTAACTTATTCTGTAACTTGAATTTTCTGAAAATCTTTGAAAAACAATCGAAAATCGTCGTATCTCGTACACTAAAAAGTATTGAGCATTCTTAATTGAACGCCAAATTCGCAACCACTTTGTGAACACTGACAGCATCCCACTATTGGGCTGCTTTTTTTTAAACTGGGCGGAATAGCCACTGAAATCAAACTGGAAAATCGAAAAAAAACTTAACCATTGCACTATACGATATAACTTGAACGTGAAATTTTTTTTCGTTAATTATGCAAAAATATTTTGTTGAAAAAGCTTAAAGGTGGCGAGATAGTGAAGCCCGTATTTAAAAGTATAATAGACAGAAATTTAAAAAAGCGATATAAAAAAAGGATATAAATAAGTGATATAAAAAAATGATATAAAAAGTGATAATAAAAAAAGTGATTTTAAAAAAGTGATATAAAAAGTGATAAAACAAAGTGATTAAAAAAGTGATATAAAAAAGTAATATAAAAGTGATGTAAGAAAAATGATATAAGAAGTGATATGAAAAAAGTGATGAAAGAAAAGTGATGTAAAAAATGATCTATTTGAAAAAAGAAGGATCGAAAAAACAGATAAAGATAGAGAAAAAAGATAGAAAAAAGATAAGAAAAAAGATCGAAAAAGAAGGATTGAAAAAGAAAAATAGAAAAAAACTATAGAAAAAAATATCGAGGAAAAAGAAAAAAAAGAATAAAAAAATATAGAAAAAAGATAGAATTAAGATTAAAAAAAGATAGAAAATAAAGATCCAAAAACAAGGATTGAAAAAGAAAGATAGAAAAAAGATTTAAAAAAGATGGAAAAAAAGGTCGATACAGAAGGATAGAAAAAGGAGGATCGAAAAAACAGATCGAAATGATAAAAAGCTCGAAAAAGGAATGAAAGATGGAAAAAGATAGAAAAAAAACATTGAAAGATCGAAAAAAAAACGGATCGAAAAAACAGACAAAAAGAAAGATTAAAAAAAGATAGAAGATCGAAAAAAAGTTCAAAAAAAGACAAAAAAAAGATCGAAACAGAAGGATCGAAAAAAAGACAGACAAAAAAGATAGAACATTCAGAAAAAAATAAAGAGAAAGAAAGATTGGAGACAACAGTTTGACAGTAGTACTATTTTGAACTGAATCGTCGAATCAAATTGAAGATAGTCAAATTAATTTAAAAAGCAGGTATACAGACAGAATTAATTATTACTAAAATTACTAAAAAAATTAATGACCTTGCGGAAAACTAATTGTTTTTTTTAAGCATTGCAATATATGATATAGCTTAAACATGAAAAAATTCTTTCGTTAAACATGCAAAACTTTTAAATTTTTAAAATCTTTCGTTAAACATGGGAGATAGCTGTCACTCGCATTTAAATATAGTATAGATAGATAGATAGACAGATAGATAGATAGATAGATAGATAGATAGATAGATAGATAGATAGATAGATAGATAGATAGAGATATAGATAGATAGAGATATAGATAGATAGATAGATATAGATAGATGATTTGGATGTCCTCTACAGAAAATAATAATACATTAGCTACCTCTGCTGTCTTCTCTGTCTTCTGGGTGATCCATTTGTGGGATATTCGGCTTTATGTTTCTCTCGCTCTCATCTCGGTTGTCCTCGCCAGGCATCATGCTAATGTAGGGATCCTTATAGTTATTCTGAGGCGGAGGAAGAGCAGGTATCTCTTCTCTCTCACAGTCTACTCCTGAAAAAAATCAAATCAAAATCAAAAACAGCAAAACTCAATATTTAATCGCTTAAATTTTTATTTCAAATACTCTTTCCATTTGTACTCTTTCCATAAACAAGGCAACTTGCATTACATTGAATCAAAACATCAAAAAAGGTATTTTTGTTAACATTTCGGAATGGTGTGAACAATCCCTCTTTTTTCCACTGTCGCTGATTCGTAACAAGGCGCAACATTCGTTTATGCTTAACCGTTGAACTAATTGCTTTGAGGGTTAAATACTGGTTCCCATAGGGGGAGGGGGTTGTTAACAAAATCCCAAATTTGAGAAAACTGTCTCAAAGAAGAGCTTATGTGCAGTGACGTACCCCAGATACACTTGGGCGCGTGGGGCATTCTGGGGTTGTTTGGGGTGAGGAGTTCCTGGGGTTTGCAGGCCTTGAAGCACCTGGAAGTGATGCCGATGATTCTGCATCCATCTCCACTCCTGGTTGCATGTTGTTTTCCTTCGCCGCACATGCCGTGGTTGTAGTAACACTGGCCCCAAATCCATCTCGAGCAGTTCGGCTCATTTGCCAACACTGAAAATTATTTAAAACCATATGTCCACGCAGGAAAGGACCAACATACTAGTCGGAGCTGTTGAGCTCTTTAAGCTGAAGCTCTTTTGTATCCTTTATTAAGTCAACTATTCAAAAAAATTGTTTGCAGCCCGGTGTAAGAACATCCATACATTGTAATTTAAAATGTATCAATTCTTTTTGCACTTGTGTATGGACAGTCATGGACTTTTAACGTAAACTCTTAAATTGAAAAAAAAAACATAATTTTCAAATTGAACAATTTACCCGGTTACTTTCGAGGCTTTCTCGTTGGCACTTCTAAGGCCATACATCAATTAAAATCATAATTAATAAACAAGACATTTCCTCGTGCAACTTTGAGGAAATCTTCCATCCAAATTAGTAAAAACGCAACATTCGGGAAAAAAATCAGGTAAATGGCAGTGGTTGCAATATTACAATGAGTTATAATTTGGAATCTTTGTTTTTCAACCGAACAGCTAATACAATGGTGAAACAGCCATTAAACATTGAAAAAGATTAAATGTTACTAAGTTTAAAAGTGATATTCGGTCAACTATTTTTCTGTGAACCAGGTGATGATTTCAATTATTTTTTCAGGTTGAATATCAACCATTTAGGAGTTTATCTCTTAAGAAAATAGCACAAAATGCTCTCAGCAAAAACGAAATTTAGAATCCAAACGAATCGACAATTATTGAAGACCAACTCTGCTTTTCAGTTAAGATTTCATTCGCATGGTCATAAAATGATATTTCAATTGGTCAAAACAGTTGTAACAACATTCAACATATCTCAGCTACTAATTAATGGTGATAAAAACACAGTGCATTAATCCAGCAGTGAGCTGCAGAGCATAAAATGGTCGTGCAATAAGTAAAAACTTACAGTTTTGAACTTGTGGTTGCGCCCCGACTAAAAACAACATTAGAAATGAAAACAGATACAATTTATTGGCACGTCAATTCAATTAGTACAGTTGCGATACTTCAAAGCAATACGGGCGACTACATTCAAAGAGGGTCAAATTGTTACAGGGTGCGAGGCGACCAAATCATTACCAGCTAGAATAAACAATGAAAATACCAACAATTAGCCTCAACTTCAAGCCGCTCTAACTTTGAGACGACTAAGCAAACCGTATACATTGAATAAGCAAAATGCACAAAACAGACTCGAAAAATATAGACTTACTTAGACCATAACACATATTCGAGGCGAAAAATTGTTTTAAAATGACCGCTGAGCTGGTGCATCATTTTTGAAAAAAAAAATCCAAAATAGACTTTTTTGGAAAAACTAACCAAATCTACCTTTCGCACCTCACACACGAGCCTGAAATTATAAAATTAATCTTTCCTTCAAAAATGTTTCGGTTCTTCAGACCAAATTTGGATGTCGTAAAAAATTACCTAGGGGAACGCTTTAGGTTATTCAATAAAATAGAGACTTTGAGATTATTACAGACCAAATAATGGCTGTTATAGACCGGTCAGTTAAGAGATAGTAAAATGCTTAGAAATAAATCAAATTCAGCACAAATCATCCCTTACTTGAGCTGCAGAATCGGCTCTGTGAACCTCAAAAATCTTTGTTGTAAAGCTGAATAAACTATCAATAAACTGGAGAGATTATTGAATGAATTTGGAGTCTTTGTATCAATTCCATCTTAAACTAGCCATCAAGCATAAATCATATTTTACGACATTATAGAATTGTTTAAACTTTCCGATCGTTTATTTACCAAGAGCATGTGAAGTGGCGAGCCTTGTTTTGACTTGGCAAAATCAAAGAAAATAACAAATTTCCTTCTTTGAAAATCTTCAATCACCAAATAGCAAACTTCAGTTTCAATTATTTCTGAGTTTATTGACACGGTTTTCACGAGTCAACGAACTTTTCAAAGACTCAATTTAGATTCAGAACTGTGACATTAGCGTGTCAAACATGATCTAGCAACAAGAGCAAAATTGTGAGGCAATTTTGATATAGTTATTTGTTAGTCGAAAAAATTGCAACAGAAAAACCAAGCTGTTAAAATAGTCCAAAAAAAATTGCTTAAGATCAAAATTTCCTGAAACAAAAAAATCACGACCGATATTCGTGTCATTCCCAACTTAGGTTAAATTACGAACCTAGAAATAACTTAATTTGCATGAAAGTGAAATTGATTATTTTTTTTAATTGCAAACTTTAACACTAGCAAGAACGCGACAAAAACAACTCTATGAAATGCAAAAAGAAAAGTAAAATAAGCCTCAAATTACTTAAAATTCATCTTCATCTCGTATTCAAACCTACTATCTACTGCCAACTAGAAATTGAGCCTAGTCTCACGCACTAACCACTCATCTACGGACACTTAATTAAAACCAAACACCAGCCACACAAAGCAGAGAACAGATACTATGCATTTTCCAATGTTAGTTAAATTTTCATATAACATTTTTAAAGAACACTTTCATTTGCGAGTTTGGCTAGAAAAAGAAAGTTTCGTACTAATACACTAGTATTTACCAAATGTGAGAAAACTGGATCACATAATATTTTTATCGCTGCGAAATTTGAAAATTAAATTCCACTTTCTCGTAGAAACTAGAATTTTATCACGTTTTTTGTTGCCCTCAAAACTTTGCTGTTCAACAGTGGAGTTTTCCTGCTTTATAACAATGTAAGCGAACTGAACTTAAACGAAATCAACAGTCAAACCGCGTAAAAAGTAAATTTGAGCATTAACAAAGACTTTTCCTGAAAAAAAATGAAACAAAAAACAAAAGCAAATTTCGCACCACTTGCGATACAAAAATGAAAGACTATCACAACTTGCAGATGAACCAGCCAAAATCAAAAAACAAAAAAACTCCAAAAAATTGTTCTCTTAAACTGTTTCGAAAAAAATGCACATAAATCCGAAATCTTGGAACTGAATTACCTGCATCTTGTGAAATTTTATCAAAAGAGGCGAATTCGGATTCTAAAAACAAAACTGTTCTGAAAATTTTGCTAACAATTTAATTATTTTAATTTAAACATTATTCTAGCTGATATTATTGCTCATTCTAGCATTTTTCACGTAAATCAATCCGCCTGGCTTATAAAAAATTTGACTGCAAAATCACAAAGAAAATTTCAAAATTGGCGCAAGGTTTGATTTTTTCCAGACTTGAAACGGCAATTTTTGAGGTATTTTAACTGTTGCCTCAGGCTCATTGATCAATTCAGTCTTGCCTCCCAAACTAAAAAAAAAACAACGAAAAAACTAATTCATGAAAAACTTTAGTAAAATATTAGAAAACTTTCTAATTTTTGTGTTATCTTTTTTTTTCATACAAAGTCGCATGATCAGAACACTTGGCGCTACTTGGACAGCCATAAGTAACTATAGTTCAAACTTTGTAACTAGATTGAATCGTTCCTTGCGAATATTCTAGAGAGTTGCGCCAAAACAAATTTTGCAGAAACCGTGTTTGATAATTTAATTTCGAGTTCCTTGAAACAAAAGCCGGGGATAAAATTTATTTTGACGACACTTTCAAATCTTTCCCTTATTGGTCGAATTAAAGCAGATCTATTGCAAAAAATTATAAAAAGAACAAACAAAACTTTTAGGACACAATAAAGGGACACTAACAACATCGACAAAAATAACTGCTAACATTTATCGGCATGCCTAAGTGTTCCCTAACAACTTTCCAATAAGCATATATTGAGCAATTGAATTAAAAAATTATCAGATCTAAGCTAAGGTAACCAAATCAGTAGCAATATAAAAAACTTAAATAAGAACAAGTTTCGTAGTTTTTCAAAAACAAAAACTTTTAACACAGGCGAAGCTGCGCTTCTCGCCACTTGCAAAACAAAACAAAAAAGCCGCTAAATCGTACAAGTTTAAAAAAATGTCAAAAACACCAGATCTATCAAAATAAATAAAGCTTATTTTCAACAAAAACATGCAAAGACAAAATAAGAAATAAGCATCGAAAGAAATTTAGCCGAAAATATCTTAGCAGAAAAAATCAAGACTTAGGACTTATTCTTAGTTAAGAAGTCCCTTCCACCCTCAAAACACCCACACACATACGCAAAACTTTATTTGCTCGTAAAATGAAACAAAATGCCGCCACTAAGCACATATAATACAAGCCGAAATCTCTTATGCTGAAAAAAAAGAACGAAAAAAAAACTGAAAAGCCGGACAAAATTCAAAAAAAAATAAACGACTAAAAAAACATACTAAGTCCCCTCCCCATCAAAAAATTCCTGGAACAAAATTGCCTGCACCATTGAACATTTTAAATCAAAATGCTTAAAAGAAACAGAACCTTTCTGTAGACCTAAGCCGACAAAAAATAGAAGACACGAAAGTCTAAAATATTCGAAATTTTTGTTTCCACAAAAAAACACGTCCCGACTGGAATTGAACTTCTGAGATTTGTCGTCTCAAGCATGGGAATTTCTACTGCACCAAACTGCACCACAACTTTTCTGACAATTTTTTTAATGAACAGCAAAAAACAGCAAAGAAAAATAGGCAAAACTTCTTGGAACTCAATTATTTACCCAAAACCGAAGTACACTGAAAATTTTTCAATTTGAGTCAAAAATGCCCAAATTTTAGGCAAATTTGGTGCTGCGTGAACTAATCCGACAAAAAAAAGACAAATAAGTCCGCCAAAGATTTTTTGACGCGCACACAATTTTCCGCTCACAAAAAAACAGGTCCTGGTTGAGTTCGAACCATTGATATTTATTTTTATAGGCAGGTGCGTTAGCTTTTCGCCACATGCACGAATTAACGCCGGACTTTTGATGTCATAAGACTAGTTGATAAGACTTGTTGATTTCATTTGACTAGTTGTTAACCAGAAAAAAAAGATTTTGACAACTACGATTTCAGCAAATATGCAATGTATACAGCAGAACAACACAATTCTACGATGTGGCAACTAAGCCGACAAAACATAAGCAGGCATTAATAAGCCGACGTTTTTTTTTTGAAAAGGAATATCTCCCGTTTGAAAAAAAAACAGGTCCTGTAAGATACAAAACGAGGCAAGATTCTAAACGAGGTAAGATTCAAAACGAGTAAAGTCTTTGCCGTTCCAGGCGTATCCGTTACCTCCAGATCACGTGTGCCAGAGACTCAAAACATTGGAATTCGTTATGAAACCAACCTAAATTAACCATTTCAAATTTTGACCGATCTGTGAACAAAGTTATTTACAGGAAAAAAATTCTGGTAGTCGATTGCAATACCCTTGCTTATCGCATGGGTAATTATCTATCTGCATGCACGTAAATTTCAAATGAGATATCAATCCAATTTATACTGAAACTTTTTTGTCAAAAAGCCTTAGCTAGAAAGACACCATTCCGGACAAAAACATTGAACCGAGAAAAGAATCAACAAATGTGTAATTTTTTAATGTAATTTAAACTCGGTCGTTATGCATATAGTTGTCGAATATCTGGAACAAATTTAAAGCCGTATTTTAGCTTTGAACCCGAGGCCTTGGTCCTCCCATGCATCTGCGTTACCAAATGGGTCAAAATCAATTTCAACAAGGTGGTAAGATAGAAGGATCAAAACGAAAAACTACAGCTTAGAATAGTCTAGAAAATTTTTGAAACAATCAACAGCAAATTCAAATAAATAACTCTTCAATTTTTCAAAAACGCGCTAAAATACTTAAAAAAAACTAACTTAACTCGAGTGAAACTAAAATTCTACGGTTTAAATTAACCTATTGCAACCAATTGTCACTTTTCATGTGCTAATTCTGCGAAAAAGTGTAAACGGGAAAAGTACCCGGTTGCAGCAACATAATTGCTAAAATAATCTTCGTGTCTACACGAATCAGAAACTGCCAGTTCGGCATACAAAAAAAATTGCCATGAAAAACTTTCAGCTATCAAACATTTTGAAACTCAAAGTTCTTAGACCTCAAAAAACACAAGCAACTAACTGATTTTACAATCACGGGACCCAACATGAGTCTGCTAAGCCGATACATTATAAACCAAAACCTTTGATACGGAAAAAGGCAAATAGCCTAAAATACCGAAAAACCTGAAATAGATAAAAAAGGAGTTCATACATTTACAACAAACATAAAAAAAACAATTTCGAAGAAAAACGGTATTTAAATTTTGAACATGATCAAATAATGTATGTTCGTTGACGGAAGCATCAAACAAAAATAAAAAATGAGATCAAAAAAACATTGATTCAAACCATCACAAAAACTTACAGTCGCGGAGCTTTGTAGTTGAAGTTCTTGCACCATTTTTGAAAAATTTCGCAAAAAAGGTACAAAAAAACCTTTTCAATAATCGAATCATGTAATCTCCATGTTATTTTGCAATTTCGCTTATCAAATATTTCATATTCCGCCATTACTCTGTCAGTGATTTGCTGAGAGAGGCTCAAACCGAAAAAAAACAACGATATTTATTAAGTTCACAACTAGATTGAAAAGTTTGCGGAAAGTTTTCAAGTAAATAAATTAAAAATGTGACAAAAAACAGAACACAATTCGACAACCAACCTTGTAAAACCGAAGACTGGTGGTGGAGGGGAGGGTAACTGCTCTCAGGTAGGGGTAGTTGCCTGTAAGAGGGCAGCACATCCCCTTGTACCAAGGTAGCACACGTGAACGAAATAAACACAAACGAGAACCAACATTGAGTCATCTTCATCTTTTTACTATTTCTGGGTTTCTGATAATTTTGGTTTGCAGACGGAAATAAACCACTACCAAGTTGACAATTACAGGTCAACATTTTGGGTAAGTTATGATCGAGGATCGAAACGCAGAATCTTATAATATTTAAGAAACTTTTCAATTCCGTTCTTGTTTAACAAAAATAACCAACAAAATTATTGACAAATTGGGTAAAAACTGACAAGATAATGTGTAAAATACTATTGAACTTAACAGTAGAACGACAATTTAAGACTTTGGTTAGTTGAATTCAGGGGAAAGGCTCAATAAAACATTCCGCTCGTAATAAGAACCTAGACCTATCATTAGCTATTGGTAATAAATGAATCAATATATCTTATCAAAACGTCAATTTCAATAAAAAATATCTCCAAGTTCTTCTGAAGACTATTTTTCAAATTGGACTTCGTTTCCTCTCTTGTTTGTTTTTACTATTTTAGGCAGGTGGAACTCAAATCTATTGTGAAAATATTGTTTTTGGCAAGCAAACGAACAGCTGGCAAATCAATTTGGCGCTTCTATAATTTTTCTTTCCTTCAATCTAAAACTCCAAAGAAAACTCCTATTGGCTGCCAAAGAAACCGAGGAACAATTTAAGAACACAGGTAGTTGTTAAAACCACTGTATTATATAACCAAAAGCAACTACCAGTATCAAATGCTAAACCAATGAAATATTCTTCCAGTATCCCAGATTAAAGTATTGATCAATTTTATGACGGATCAGAGAAAAGAAGTATTGGAAATATGGTCCATTATTGAGACGTTTATTGAGACTCAATAAAAACTGATTTTGATTCCGACAGCCAGGCCGATTACTGGATTAGAACTATGGACAGAAAATTGCTCTTTGCGGATCTCGCCAAGGTAATTGGAGGTACTAGACTTTAGGAGCCCAAAAAACAACATGAACAGACAAGTTGATTAGGTAATGTTGCTTATTTAGATTAGTTAATAACAGGTATCTAAACTTAGTTATAAATCAGCGGCAAGAACATGGCGCTATAACAACACACGGTGAAGACAATTTTGGTAATTCTTTCCAATTTATTCCGACAGACTGACGATTTTAGATTTGACACGTCCAAAAAGAGCAAATTTAACTTTAACTAGTTTCAAAATAAAACAAAGACCGATTATTGACCTTCTTTTATGGAGTTATGCTCGGGCAATCCTAAGCTGACGTTAGCCAAGAGTTAACAGGACGTCAGTATCGACTAGCTGTTAAGTTAGCTAACCAGTTCAAAGCACTTATCAAACAGAAGTTTCCCATGCACATAATTGGTAATGATCTGCATTTTATCAGCTCAATTAGGTTACGATATATTTAGGGATCGATTAAAATATTCAACAAAGAGTTATTCAAACAATTGGTAGATATAACTGAAATTGAAATAGCTAATATTATGAATATTATGGTATAATCAGCAGCCTGTCAATCAAACATTATAAATCATGAACTTTCTTCTGAGTCTGAATTTCAGCACGAGAACCAAAAAATCATATCGTGTGAAATTCTCTTGCTAATGGAACCATAATCTTGCTCATGATGACATGAATATTAGTACTAAATTGATATGCCTAGAACAGTTTACAAAATAGTTGATCATTCATGTGACTTAAGAACGCACGAAAACTCTCTAGTAAATCGATTTAGGAGGACGAGATGAAATTTCCCCATCTTAGCTTTGACCTTCTGTCAAAAAAGGGCTCTATTTTAAAACATTTAGACATCAAAGGCCGATTCTTAAGGCAAACTTGTTTCATGAACCCGTGGTTTCTTTCGGCAAATCTGCGTCGAGAAAAAGTTAGTAGGTCAAGGTCGCACTAAAATGACAGCAAATCTCGCACAACTTTTAAAATTTCCAGCAGAAAAAAATCTATTTCCCAAAATTTTATCGGAAAACTTGAAAAACAGTTTGGTTTGAACTGTACGCCGTAAAACTCTTAATTTTATCGAGATCAATCACGAGGAGAACTTTGACACGTTTGAGAGACTATCAAAAACATTTTATTATGAAATCCATACTAATTGGGAGGTCTCTATGAAGCACAGAAACACAAAGTCAAAACCTGAGCAGTATAATCCTTATATCATTCTGTATTCTTACTTTACAACTAGTTTTTAACGATAAATTATTTGCACAGGTATCAATGCAAAAAGATTGTCAGAGAAATTTTATTGGTGGACCGGTTATAAGCCGGTGGTTCTTATTTTAAGAGGACGAAAGATAGCTTCGAAGAAGATAAGAAAGAAACTTGAAGAGCCATATAGATCTAATCAACGCCATGGTTGTCCAAACATTGCCACTGGTACCTTCTTAACTCAAGGCTTAGAGCACCCCTCAAACACTACTGAAGTTTCCTTAATGAGCAGATCCAAATCAGGGGTTTAGGCGCCTTTCTTGGCACGACAAAAGTTTGCATATAAAATAGAACTAATTGTGTAAACATTAGTTTCTCTTTTCGAATTTATAGACTTTGGGATCTCATGTTTGGAAATAAATAGCTACATGGGAACAGGCTCTAAATGTCGTAATACAAAATTCAGCCTTAGATACTAATTTTCAATGTTTCCTCTCCAAAATTTCTCCTGCAATCAAAACCTCTCTTTTTATGAATCAATAAACGAAGTAGCGTAAAGATTTTGATAGATTACTTTTTCGGCACAGGTCGTGATTTTTCAGAGATCGCTCAAAGGAATTCCAGACACGGCAAAAATCATTTTCAGACATGGCGTCTTTGTACTCTTTTCACCAACAAACTCAACAAAATGCTCAAAACATGTCTGTTGAAGTATTTCCAACCGAGGGACGAGGAAATGGAGAGGAACTACGTATTCGGGTGTTTTAGTTTTTTTTTCTTTTTTTCCACGCAAAATAAGGTACCACAAGTAATCATCTGACTGAGCTGAATTATATATCATATTAAAGCTTTTGCAGTCGCGACTCGAACCACATTAAAAAAATTAAATTTTCCAAAGGTACGAGTACGAGATTTTGACTTTTAATAAGTTTGTGTCGCAAAAGACAAGTTCATTGTAATTTTATGTTTTTTTTTGTATGTGCGCCGTAAAATCCAACTAAATGCGGGCAAGATTTGACCTAATCCTTAGATTTTCAAAATGATTCTACCCAATTATTGAAATACAATTTAAGTAACAGTTGATCCTTCACAAATTCACGCAGTTTTAAGCGTAGGAGTTCGCAAGCCAACTAACATACGCTTTTCGTTGGAGGATGGTAGCCTGTTTTACTAGTTGAAAGGAAAGAGCTTAAAGGCAAATATTGAAATTATTGGGTCGTATAATTGAGACATGGCGCCCCCGTGGCGAATTTAAATTAACGATTTAAACTTCATTTCCCTGAACCCTCTAATGTCAAGCGGATAGATAATTAATCTAATGGACAAAACAGGGAGAGAATATTGCCAAGCTGAGCAATCAACATAAGCTCTTCGAGAAATAAACACATTAAACTTGACTGCTCTGAACTCGTGAAATAACACAGACATGTTATACCCAATTTTTTCGACGAATTTCAAACAATAGATAAATTTCTTACCTAAGATGGTAACATCAGTTTACTTCAAGAATTCATACAGTAATAGCGTAAAACGCACCTCCGGTACTCATGATAAACCACATATATTGGAAATAAGATCTGCATTCTTTGGTGATCTTTAACTGCACCCAATTTCAGGGTTCGTAATTACAAATTTTGCAAAGATTTTATTCAAGTTTTTTATACAAATTTTGAAGAACCATAAAATTTTGTGAAGTTTTATATTAGTCTTTGAAAAAATTTTAAATGAACTAAGAAACGTCACATCTGGCAAACTAAAAGCATTTGAGCAGTCGCATTTGGACGCAAGATTTGCAATTCCTGAGAGTACTCTTACAGCACCCAACTACAACGGTGGGAAATTCAAATTTTGAGAAACTTCACCTAAAGTTTTCCAAAAAGAAGTATTTTTTGAAAACCAGAAAAGATTCCACATCTCGATAACTACCAAGATTTGAGCAGTCTTATTAGATGGCAATAATCGCAATCTTTGAAAGTACTCTGACAACACACAACTTAAGGGTTGGGAATTTCACTTTAGTGAACTATTTTGTAATTTGAGTTTTCTGAAAATTTCCAAAAAAATTACAAAAATAGTCGTATCTCCTACAGTAAAAAAAAAAGAGCATTTCTAATTGGAGGCCGAAATTGCAACTCATGTGAATACTCTGACAGCCCCCAACTACAGGTTACGAATTTCAAACTTTGAAAAAAAAATTAATTTAATTTTCATAAAACTTTTTTTAAAAAATCGCAAAAAACGTCATATCTCGAAAACAAGAAGTTTTTGAGCAGACAAAATCAGAGGCCCAATTTGCAACTTCAAATAAGTACCCTCACAGATTCCAATAACAGTATTGAGATCTTCAAAGTTTTGGAATTTTTTTAACATCTAATTTTTTTTGAAAATTTCGGCGAAAATCATAGAAAACGTCATTTCTCAAAAACTACACTCATATTTGGAGGCAAAAAATGCAACTCCTGAGAGTACCGTGACAGAGCCTCACTACCGAGATGGGAATATCAAATTTTTTGAATTTCTTTATCTAGATTTTCTGAAAATTTTTTTTTTAAATCCTAAAAAAACGTCATATCTCAAAAACTACGAAGATTTGAGCAGCCATAATTAGAGGAAAGATTCGCAACCCCTGAAAGTACCCTCAGAAAATCCAACAACAGGACTGAGATCTTCAACGTATTGGAATTTTTTAAAATCTAAGTTTTTGAAAATTTTTTGAAAAATCATAAAAAACGTCATATCTAGAAAACTACAAGGATTTGGTTGTTCATATATGGAGGCTAGAATCGCAAAACCTGGGAAAACTCTGACAAAATCCAACTATTGGGTTGCTAACTACAAACTTGATGAAATAAAAACTGAATTTAAACAGGAAAATCGAAAAAAAACCTTAAACATTGCAATATACGATATAGCTTAAACGTGAAAAAATTCTTTTGTTGAAGATGCAAAAAATTCGTTGAAAAAGCTTAAGCATGTTGAGATAGTGAAGCCCGCATTTAAATATATAATAGATTTACACACAAAGGCGAAGCTTCGCGAAAAGTGAGATTTCATAAAATGGACTTTGCCTAAGGCATTAGTTGTTTTTCTTCTAAAACAAGACTGCTCATATCAGGGCGAAGCCCTGAATGTTCCAACTGCCTTTTAAGGTTTATGGAGCAGTAATAACATTAAACAATTCACTGAAATAAAACAAAATGGAAATTTTTTTTCTTCTGAAATTTGAAATTTTTATGAAAATCATCCCCCCACACGCCTTATAAAGTACAAAAGGATAGATTTCGCTCCTTGTAACAAACCATTTATGGCAAATAAGCGTCTTTTATCCAATTTGGAAAGATTTCTAAGAGGGATTAACTCTCCGCTTACGCGTTAATAGCGCGAAATATATCGCGCGTTAATTGTCCCAAATTGGCCAAAATGGCAATCTTTAAACCCCTGTAACTTTACGAAAAATGATCACAGGTGAAATATCTTTTCAAATTTGAGTTCAAGACAAAATTACCTTTCGAAAGATATGAAAAAAATTTGTCAAAAATGGCTAGTTAAAAAGTCGAAATTTGTCTGAAGAAAAAAACCCACCCCGAGCACAAATATTCCGTTACTTTCGTATCGAAAGTCGGAACAATAAGTGAGAAGAGTAAGAAATTTTATACTACTACTACTACTACTACTAAAAGAATTTATTCCCTTTAAAATATAAAGGCATCAAACAAAAGAAATGGTATGATTATGTACACAAGACATCACGAACGGCAATTTATGCAATGGCAACAAAGTAGCATTGAACAAGAGTTGTTTAAGTTGAACATATCAATTCTATTTTTTTTAGATAGATTTTCAATTTTGCTTTGAAAATTTCAGGCGATGAGAAAATGTCGGCTATGTTGTTTGCTGAAATCATGTTGGCATACCGACAGACGCGATAGAAGAAAAATTGCTCTGTAAAGAAGAGTCGACAATTCTGGGTTGTTGAAAGCTTAGGGCGTGAGCTATTGCGAAGGTCTTTGGCTGCAAAGGTAAAATTTATGTATCTGTAAAGGTTGAAATCAAATTGATCAGTCAGGACTCGATTAAGAAAACACATATCATGTAAAGCTATAGTGAAGG